ACACCCTCATATACTGCTGGTAGAAATGTAAAATGGCGCAACCACTTTGGAAAACAGGCAGTTCCTCAAAATGTTAAACGTGGAGTTACTATATGACCCAGCAATTCTACTCCTAGGAATATACTCAAGAGAAATAAAACTGATTTCCACACAAAAATTTGAACATGAATATTCATAGCACCATTATTCATAAGAGCCAAAAGGTGGAAATCCAAACCACCATCAACTGATGGAGGAATAAACAAAATGTGCATACAATGGAAGATTATTCAGCCATAAAAAGGAATGACGTACTGATTGATTCATGATACAACCTGGATGACCCTTAAAAATGTTGTTTAGGGGCTTCCTGAGCGGTGCAGTGGTTAAGAATCTGCCTGTCAATGCAGAGGACATGGGTTCGAGCCCTGGTCCCGGAAGATCCCACATGCCACGGAGCAACTAAGCCCATGTGCCACAACTACTGAGCCTGTGCTCTAGAGCCTGCGAGCCACAACTATTGAGCCTGCACGCCACAACTACTGAAGCCCGCGTGCCTAGAGTCCGTGCTCCGCAACAAGAGAAGCCACCGCAATGAGAAGCCTGCGCACTGCAATGAAGAGTAGCCCCAGCTCACCGCAACTAGAGAAAGCCGGCACGCAGCAACGAAGACCCAACGCAGCCAAAAATTAATTAATTAATTAATTAATTAATTAAAAAAATATATATATATATAGTTCAGTAAAAAGCAACCAGACATAAAAGGTGACATATTTATATGAAATGTTCAGAATAAACAAATTCATAAGACATAATGTAAATTAGTGGTTGCCAGGCATTAGAGGAGGGGGGATAGGGAGTGACTAATAATGGCTACAAGATTTCTTTTTCGGGTGATTAAAATGTTCTAAAATTAATAGTGGTGATGGCTGCACAACTCTGTGAGTATACTAACTATTGAAATGTACACTTTAAATGGATATGGTACCTGAATTATATCTCGATACAGTTGTTTAAAAAGGGACCTGTATATACATTTTCAAGTACTATGCGTGATTAAAAGTTGACACGCTCCATCTCTGAACTAGACTTGGAGACAGAAAACAACTCCACTGGAATTGGTACTCAGTTTACAGTGTGTCATTAAACATCAGTGATACTTTCAGTTCTAAAGATTTGTGCTTCCAGACAGCACAATTTTAATGGCAGCTAACAGTGGCAAGAACTACTGATCAGATCTGTCAAATTTCTACACTCAAATTCAAGCCCTTACCTCTCAAAGTATAATTCCAAGATGGTAACCCAATAGAGGGTCAGGGGTTCAGAAGCAGTATTAACTGCTAGGGGATTGGGCAGCAGAAATAATGTAAAATATTCTTGAAATCTTGAGAAATAAGTTCTGACTGTAACTTACAGTTGCTTGAAAACTTATAAAGGAATAGTATAGTAGAAAACAATTTCTCTATATTAATGGACATACATTTGATATCATTTCATGCTAATTTTGAATTGTAAAGAATAGGAACTGCATGCTGATCAAAAAGAATGCCCTTTTATGAAAGTTGCTTAACTGTATCCTAGACAAAGGAATTCTGATCTGGTTCAGTAAGTAAAAAGTGCTTTAAGCTACAGATGAGACACTAATCTGAGGTACAAACAATAAATGCTCTTCAGCCTCAGATGCCCTCTCTCAAGTGGAACCCCACAGCATGCTTGTGGTATCTCATTTTATATTTCCCCTATTAATATAATGATTGAAACTGTCATGCATGTATCTTTAAAAACTTTCTGCTCAACATTATCTACATTCAATTCTAGCTGACCCTCTGTGATCACTAATAAGCCAGCTTCTATATGGCAATAAACAGCTAGCCTACTCAAATTTATACTCCAGGTATTAATGCTGCCTTTAAAAGGGACAAAGATTATATATATATATATATATATATATATATATATATATATATATA